GAAGAATAAAGCATTGCGAGGAACAAATGTAATAAAAATCGGGATGTTGCACGAGTTTGGTCAATACCTGTATGTGAAAGTATATGATAAACGAGGACTACTTTCATAGCAACTTCCGTCTCGACAACAAAACCATTCATCTGCCATTGCAAATCAAAGTTTGAAAAGGAGTGTCAACAATCGATAAGGGACTCTTACCAGTTTTTTTCAATTTTGCTTTCTTTCCCAAGATGAATTCCTTGTGTATATATCAAATGAAGCATAGACTGAAAAGCTAAGAAGCACTGCGCAGCTGTTTCGACCTGTTTGGGTCTATTCACCAGTGCGAATCCATCAACTCAAATTGGGATCGAACCCGGGACCTGACAGGTAGAGGACAAGCACGCTACCCACTTGGCCACCGTGCAGCTGATCAGACCGCTTTTCATTTTCAATTTACGCGATATTGCACAACCCATTTTTGCGAGCTTGTTGCGGGCCACAGATCCATCTCAACTCAGCACTAGCCTCCAGGGTTAAGACTCGGTTGGAAACATTCACAACCTGTCTGATTATTTCATGTAGGTAATGGAGGATTTGGTTAAATTTTAAATGACAATTCGTTGTGTATATATCAAATGAAGCATAAACTGAAAAGCTCGGAAGCACTGGACAGCTGTTTCGACCTGGTTGGGTCTCATCAGCAGTGCGAATCCATCGACCCTACTGGGAATCGAACCCGAGCTTTTCTGTTCACGCTCAACAATTAAAAGCTTTATACACACCCAGACCGACTGCGTATCCCACCGAAGGATAAAGTGCCAGATTCTGCAGTCTCGTTCTATTGACCCTTTTACCCGTTCGTGTGGGACCGGGTCAATTTGTTCCACGAGCAGGTGCTTATCCGATCGCGTTCAGGGACTCCACCTGTCTTAGTTGGGAACAGGAACAATGAGAACAATTACAAGCGCGGTGTCTGCATCCCGTTGAGTCAAATCACTCGATGGGTGTGGCAAGTGCGTTCCAACCGACACAGTTCAATGTAGGCAATTAAGAACAGTGAAACATCTAATCTTAGCCACAGCCAAAGTCAAAGTTTTATCACAAGAATAGCTTACAAACTGGTGCTTCTCTTGTCCCATAGGATATTTACACGGATGAATCATTACACATCGAAAAGGGAGTCGCATAGAAATCCGGGTAGGAGATAGAGAATGTAGGCTACAGTGAATTTCCGTTTGCCTTTAGTGTAAGAATGTGAGGTGTGCCAAGGTTTCTTCGAGTATCTGCTTGAGAGATTCAATAGTGGGTGCACAAACGATATGAGATAGAAGGGCGTTCCAAGATCTGCATACTCTGACTGCAAAAGACTGGCGCCGACAAACCAGTCGACACTTGGGAACCAGTAGTTTGAAACGATGTCCCCTTAGGTGTACATTTTTTGATAACATGAGGAGCGATCAACACGGATGGTTTGGAATCTGTAGTATTTGATACGTCAAAATCAAGTCTCCTCGAGCTCGGCGGTACTGAGCAGAATATAGTCCCAATGATCACAATCTGTCCTCGTATTTCAGGTAATGGAATCCCTTGACCATTTTGGTGGCCATCCTTTGTGGATGCTCAAGCATCTTGCGATCACGTTGAAGCCATGGACTCCAAGCTTGGATGGCGAACTCTGTATAGAGTCGAATGTACGCTGATAGCAAACGTGGGAATAAAGAAGTTTCAAACCGGCTAAAGACTTCCCGAAGTAAGGCGACATTCTTCATAGCAGCAGACGAAGCCTTAGCACAGTTGTTGGAGCAGCTTGAATCCTCTTGAACAACAATACCTAAGTCCTTTTCGGTAGAAGTATGTGGTAGCTGCTGGTCTCCGAGGAAATACGAGAATTTCCGCTTGTGGCGTAGGGATAGGACTTTGCATTTAGAAACATTAAATTCAATGTCGTTCTACTTAGACCATTGATAAGCTGCGTTGATTGATTCCTGAAGTGTTTGAGAGCCCTCTGGTTTTGTTACCGTGTTCCAGATTTTGGGGTCATCTGCAAACAGTATTGTTTTTGAGCCTAACACTTGCGGTAGATCGTTTACGAAGGCGAGGGACAGACGGGGACCGAGTACGGACCTTTGTGGAACACGGCGGATGGTTTGGATGGGTCCGGATACAGAATCAGAAACACGAACTGATATGGTTCGTTGATCGAGCAATGCTTTGATCCACTGAAATGGGAAATCTCGAACGCCATAATTATAGAGCTTCTGCAGTAAAATTTTGTGATTCACTCGATCAAATGCTTTCGCGAAGTCGAGATAAATCACATCCACCGCATCCCCTTCGTCAACTGTACTGGTCCATTCACCTCGAATTAGAAGCAGGTTCGTGGTGCAGGATCGCTTTTGCCTAGACCCATGTTGAGCTGTCGAGAGAATATTGTATGTTTCGAGATGTTCCATCAGAGAATCGGCCACAATTGACCACATGACCTTCGATAACACCGAAAGCAGGCTACAGGTCTGTAGTTAGCGGGGCCACTATGACAACAACCTTTGTATATGGGCGAAATGACTCCTTGTTTCCACGATTCGGGGAGTGTTGCTTGGTCGAACATTCGTTGAAACAGAATAGCTAGCAGTTCGGATATGTGATTTGCCGAAAAGATCAGAGATTTCGGGTGTATGTTGTCCTCATCTGGAGTTGCATTTCTTCGCAAAGCCATTAGTTTTGCTTTAACGTTTTCAGCAGTAAATGATACGTAGATGAGTGAAGGATGTGGAACATGATGCAATCGTTGGGGTAGTTGTAAACCTTCAACCTGCGGTGCTGCGAATACGTTGGAATAATGAATTTTCAGCATTTCCGCTGCTTCCATTTCAGTGGTTGCAACTCTTCCAGCGCTACTTAGTACCGGTATACCAAACTTTACTTTCCGAATGGAGTTGATGTGTTGGTGCAACAACTTAGGGTTAGAAATGAATTTTTGCATAGCAACTCTTGAAAGTCGAACTTATGTTGTGTTCGGTCCAGATGTACGAATGACAAGAGTGACTCTTGCTTAGCCCCCAACGAAAAGGCGGACAGAGAACACAGCTGGAGACAAACAGTCAGCGTGTATTTTCTGATTAGGGTTCGATACGCAAATACACAGGACAAATCACACATACGAGAACGGCGCAGTGACACACCAACCAATCCGATTGCGCGCATGACATATCGATCGCACAAACTTTGACTGAAATTTAATCAAATCCTCCATTACTTACTTTCTTTCATTGAATATTAAATGATACAACTTTCAGCAAGAAAGAAGGGAGCAATCCAAAAGCTGCCATGCAACACACAAATAAAGAAAATCAAGCGGTGATAATTGGATCGAAATACACGTCCTCTGGGCTGATAATTTGGTGACGTTTCCACCGGGCTACAATCGCCCATGGGGAGGAGAAAGCAATTGGCAACACATTCGTGCCTTCTGGTAAAACTGAAACATAGGAGAATTTCGATACTCTACTTCGGTTATAAACAACTTGAGCCCAACTACGATTAGACATTGTAAGAAAACAGAAATCAGCGAACGAGCTCGTTTGTGGTGATTCTTCTACAGGCTGATACATCACGATTTATATCAAACTGTTGAGCAGGAGGTAGAAGATATCATGACAATTTGGAAAATAAATAACCAACATTCTATTTCCATGAACTGATGTAGCTTACACTTTAGTCCTCACATATACGCACTGGTTCGTGTCATTAAGAGTGGGGGAATGGCTGTGTCGTGTCTGGTGTTGGCCATGGAAGACCGAGTGTGTTCTTATAAATTGCTTTTGCGAGCACAAGAGAAGGGGGGTGGATTATGTAGGCTGATTCCGATCGCTTCCGCTGTGGCCCGACATGCAACTCCTAGTCCTCTTAGATCGATAAGTGCGAACTAAGTAAAGGGACTGAAACGCCTTGGTCGCATTATCTCTTTTCCAACTTGTCATGGCTTCTCCTCCCCTTTGGCTGCCAAACAGTTTGATATAAATTGTGATAGATCAGCCTGTAGAAGAATCACCACAAACGTGCTTGTTCGCTGATTTGTGTTTTCTTACAATGTATAACGATGGTATATTCGGACAAGTACGATTACGTTTGATTTATTTCTATGAACGTAACGAACACGCTAATGAGTCCATCGTAATATCTGACTCTTTTCTATCCGTATGGATTTGTGAAGACGGACGCTGAGATAAACGATGGCAGAAAGTCACAATGAGGTTGCAAATATGGTATGTATTTTGCCACCTAGACAAAAAAGGATGAAAATCTTCGATCAGCAATCTGATTTTGATCTATGCAATACACTACTTTCGGTTACGATTCACACACGAAATGACGAGGTCCCGCTAGGCATTTTATCATTTATTTCCAAAGTTCCATATTGATAAACCAACTGTCACACACAGGTTATTTCACTTGGGAAATTACCAGTTTCGTTGAATATAGTGTAGCGCAAAGTTCATTACAAATATTGGTATCGCGAAATCAAGCATTTTGCTGAGTAGTTTACACGACTGATAATCCCCAAAGATTTGAACAGAACGGCCAACTATTTAACGGCTTCAAGGACTATTTTCTCGATCTATTTGTTTGGTAAGTGTGGTGCAAATCACCTCTTCATTATTCGATGATGCAAATTGAACACAAGGACAGGCTGTTTCTGATCGTTTATGAAGCTCGAGATTGGAATCGTCCCAGTGGATAAAATTAGGTTAGATGAGGGTAATAGAGGTTGTGATTTATATGATGAATTCGTCATGTAAACGAGGCGTGAGCTGAAAAGCTGGGAAGCACTGGACAGCTGTTATGCTATACCATGTAAATTCAAAATAAGAAAAGATCTGATCAGCTGCCCGGTGGCTAAGTCGGTGGCATGCTTGTGTTCTACCTGTGAGGGCTCGAGTTCGATCCACGGTTGGGCGAATGGATTGACGCACTGCACTGATAAGACCCAACCAGGTCGAAACAGCTGGCCAGTGCTTCCCAGCTTTTTAGCTCACGCCTCATTTACACGACGAATTCATCATATAAAATTAGGAATGGAATTTCCGGAAGTAAGGCGATTCGTGCAATACGCGTGAAAAGATTTTCGGTGCGCGCGTACATTGAGAGAGTCTGCGGTTTTTATCACTCCTTCTTGGAGCAGAAGCGGTATAGTGGATTCCATGAGCGGCTGCAAAACTTGTCAATAAACTGTTTTTCATCGGTTGGACCATCAATCCGGAGTTGTTTATGACAATATAACTAATCTGCTTCCACATTCAGTCACTTTCCCTTTCACGTATTTCACACTCACCATCAATTAATTCTCCGTTGAGCAGGCAATTTATGATCTTACAAAACTAGGTTACTTGAAGAACATGTATCTGTGCGTCGAAAATGTCAGATATCTGCAAACAATGCCCAACATTCAAAAACGCTACAGCCTCTGTTTACAATGATTGAAATAATTGTAGAAAATAATCAATACCTACTAAAATTGGAATACCAACTCATTTAAGCTCTCATTCAGTTTTGACAATTAGGTAACATATATCAGACATCGCCACACAGAGTTAGGGATTTTAAGTAGTCAATTACGATCAAGCGATTTATCTTTTTTACTTTGTTATGACTCAACAAGTGTATTAAAAAGCTATCAATCGTTGGCTTGAACAGATGAAATGTATCAATTTGTTGACTAAAATAGCACTGGATGTTTCTCACAGGTTAGCTGTATTACACGAGTTGGTTATGCTTGCTCTCTCCAACTGTCTGTAAACCTTGGAATTTGAAATGTTGATGTGCTCGGTGGTTAAAATATGAAGTGGAAAATAAACCTAACGACTTCGTTACACATCTCATTAGTCACAATATAAACCACGTTTTTTTAACTTCATTGCAAAATCCCGAGTTGCTAATTTCCCTCGACATCGTGACAACCCTTTGATTGGCCTTGATCTGCTTTGTGGAACTTACTTCTATAATCGTACCTTTACTAACAGGTAGGAGCTCATATTTCTCAAATTTCCTTTGTTGGCAAAATTTGAACATGGTCCTTAAATTCAGTCGGATGAAAGGTTTTCGTATATTTACCTTCAGCTATCAAATACGGGAGCAAGTGAAAACAGCGCAATCAAAGGACGTGTTTAATGAAATCCTTTGGACTAAATCTGATCAACTGTCTTCTCTCACTACAGGCTTAGCATAACTGCATTCAATAATCCGTTATATATCCTATTATTCAGCTGTTTATACGTCTATTCACATTTCACAATTGAATTGTGGTAGTAAGTAGGCCGGAGCAATTGAGCAACCACTATGCACCAGTATCACACATATAGTATCAAAGAATAAACCATCAAACGCAGTCCAAATTTCCTTCTAATTCAATTGGTCCTCATTTAGCAAATTTTGGCAAATGTGACGGTGCCGGGACATTTTTCGTTGATNATTGCAGTTTACCGAGGCAGCAGCTGTTTCACCATAAACGTCGAATCTGTATAAGCGAATCGATTTGATGATCAACCTCACGCTGCCCCGGTATGACTGAGGCTACTTCCCTCACTTCTGCAGGGATTACGCCCTAGATCACGGTAACCAATCCAGTTCGGATTATTCGTGAGCATTCATCTCCCGGTGGATTTCTCATCCCCGCTTGGTCACAAATCTGTAACTCTTTCAGTTGAACGTGATCGGAATATGTGCATACAACTGGCCAGAATACCATAACACGGGTTAACTCTGAAAGATAGTGTGGTCCTAATTGATTTTCCTGCTTCCCTAATACGTTTAAAGAGAACTATAGTCGCCCATATTAATATATAAATTTTATTTTAACTTTTTATTTTACATATTTTATGATAAAAAAAGCCGAAGACGTCGACAAGATGAGCAGTAGGATGCGCTATTCGGTTATGGGAACCGGCGATCCGAGTCCTGGTATTATGATCAGCAAACTACATACAGCCTCAATCAAATGTAGTTACTGAGCAACGTGAAAGCTTTACGTATCATTAAAAGTACATTTAAATCACCGAATTCCTAAGGGCCAGTCCACTCAACATGATCAGCTTTTATTTTTATCATTGTTCGGCCTGAGTGTACGATAAATAAGATGATAACCAAACTGATTGAACCACTGTCCTGCTTGAACTCATAAATTGGTCAGATGTGATCAGACAGGAAAGATCGAAATATGTCTGTTCGTTGTTCTAAACTATGCACGTTTGTTCTTGACATGCAATTGTCGACGTTTTTCGCTCCCCACTGCCTCTCATTCATTCACAGCCAATCAGACAGGAGAAATTGTTGGAATACCAGGGAATTTCGCAACACCTGATTTCCTATTGTGAACTACTCCAAGCCAGATGTTTAATTAACTTCGCGGATTGTAACAGTTCGTCCACATCGAAAGCGAACACCATAGACTCGGTAAGTACCCTAAGCTCAAATCAGTTTAGTAGCACACCAGGCAGTAGTGAACACGATGTTATGGGTCTCACTGTCTGTTTAGTTGTGTTCTAGTATTATGCTCTGATAGGCATAGAATGGTGCAGGGATGATTTCTACCAAACTGGACAACCTGTTGTACGTTGTTTGGAAAAACAGGAATGAATCTGTAATCATTGTCTAATGGAACTTTTTTACCTGATTTTAACGGAAACATTGAAAATGGAATTGAGGATTCAATATTAACCCACAATGATAGCATTATCAAAATGAACAACTTATTAAATCACACGGAAGATGATCTCTTTACGCCTAAAGTTCCGAACCTCACTGTTCAAACTAAAACAGTTAAGAGGCCAGTTGGAGATGAGCCCATTTCTTTTTCATACCTTTAAGAAACAGATTTCGTTGTTTGAAGAAAAAGGAAACATGGAAGGGGTTTCTTTCTGGAGAGAGAAATGAGGACTGAAATTCTGCTCTGTGGCAGCTAAAAACCATAATTGATCAACTTGATCACTGGTGATCTGGAGAAAGTGGATGACGTTTGAGGGTCTCACTTCAGAAGTGAAATGCCCAGAAAAATAAAATTCAAAGGAATGAACAGATGATCAAATCAGCCATTTAGTATCCCGTTAGCAATTCAAGTTGTCCGAGCGTCCAATCAGTATGTCCGGATATTATTTCCAGTTTACTCATTATCATTTCAAGCTGTCTCGTTGATCCCAGCAATGCTTCCAGGCTCATAGTGTTCTATGGATGACCTCCCTACTGCACAGATCGTTTTCAACGTGTTGTTGAATCGAAGGGATAAACGGTTGTGCCACCTGACACAAATCCCATAGCCTACCTCAACTGTTATTCATAGGCATATTGGTCTGTTATTCTTCGTACACCACCAAAATCATATTGGATTGATGGAGGATTTGATTCTTTCAAATGATGAAAGTGAACCGAAAAGCTGGGATGCATTAGACAGCTGTTTTGACGTAGTTGATCTCATCAGCGATGAGAATCCATCGATCCAATTAGGTATTGAACCCGGAATCTCACAGGCAGAAAGTAAGCATGCTACATACTCAGTGCTCGGGCGGCTGACTAGACCGTTGCTCACCTGGAACACACGATATAACTTCATTTACACGAGGAGCTCATCATATGGAGAAATAATATTGGACTATGCATGTTCCACTAACACCAGTGGATCATGCGTATCCGCTTTTAATGGTTTCTTGTGCCCATCACGTGATACTTTAATAAGCCGCTAATCGATCCGGCTCGATTGATAGAGTGGTCATTATTATCCAGACTTACTTCTGTTTAGTGCTTTGCTTGCAGATTATGTTCCCCTTTTTTAACCATCATGGAACCGAAAGTTTCTTTTCCACCGTTTGCGTTTTTCATGATTGATTTGGGTCAGTTGTTGAGCCAGAATAGAATACCAACGAACAACGGACCCAACCGAATGTGAGTCTGCAAAAACTGACTTCTTTGTCGGTCGAGTTTGTCCAATTCGTGTCCTAATACAGCATCATGCGATGGGCATAAACGCATGGAAAATTGTAATATTTGTTTTATTTGATAAAACTTGAAGAAGGACAACAAAACAAAGATGTTTTGCGCAATTTATGCCACGGCAGATTTTACTTCATCTCAACTCACACAATGAGGTAGAAAATAACAGTATATATCGTTCGACTGTCTATCAGTTACACAAGAAAAAGTGAGGGCCAAAGCAGCACATCTCACCACGTGTAAGATAGTAATAGTGTAACTGAAACTTGGTTCCCTTCGAACACCCCGGTTAGGTTTCCATCTTCTAAATATAACGGACTCTGTTAATCTACTCAGCTGTGGAGTGGTGCCAGCATAAACGATCCTAAATCGCCGGTCGGTTTCGAACCATGTGTCATGATCATCCGGTTTGGAGTGATAAATGATATACTTGGTTTGCGTTCAATATTAGGATGTTGGTGGTCGATGATGCTGTAACATGATTGAGTGTGTTAGCGCTGGTTTATGCTTGTGTGCGTATTTGAGGGTTGATCTTGGAGAATGACCTTCGATCATGTGACCTGGGAGATAAACAAACAAACAAACAGATAAACAGACAGACAGGCAGGCAGGCAGGCAGGCAGGCAGACAGGCAAACAGACAGACAGACAGGGATAGACGCATACACGTACTAGCAATGTAGGCGATCGAGATGTGCCTTGGGATTTGCGTCGTGTGTGGTTTATTCAGGTAGCAAATTTGCCCCCCACCTCCGAGGGCGCTTCCAAAGAGGGCTGATAAATCTGTGATGCCATGGTGGTCGTCCAAATGGAAAACAATACTAAGACCAATTCCTATGAGGCTGAGGTAAATTGAATTAATATCTGGGGATCTTAAGATCGTTTTCGTATTCTGGATTTGACGCTCAGACAACTTGAGTTAGTTGGAACAGGTATGGATTCATTAGTCCCATTGAACAGTTGCACCCTAGTTGCAAGTCATGCGACACGGAGGAAAAAATATTCATGAAATAGCACCAAATCATACTGACTGACACTGGGAAAAGTTCAGGCAATTGACGATTATCATTCGATCAACAAAAACAAAAAAAAACGAATTTTACTTCAATTCCAAATTTCTTTCACGAATTCCCTTTCAGCGTCAGACCTTAGATCCCTCCACAATGGTAAGTATCATCTTTGTTTTTTGGACGCCATTTATTGAATTGTTATCAACACATGTCCCGAAATGTACGCCTTCGATCACCCTATCCTATGGTCAACAAATATGGGTATGAGACCACACATTTTAGACAAAATCCCCGATTGTGCGAATCTACACTTGGTTGTCTATTCCGGTATATAATCGTGGCGGGGTTCATCTGTTACGTTGCCAAAATCGTCATGGGAAAAGTAGAATGTTTGGAACTAAGAACGGAAGATTCTTTATTCTTGCATGGGTTTTGTTGGTTTCATAACTGACTGTTCTTTTACGACAAAAACGTTTCAACACTCCGTGTGGAAACACAATTAGCAGATTACCACTCAAGTTAATGACAATTGCAGAGGACGAGGGAATATGAACTGCAGTTAACTTTCGAAATAACTTTTATTGTAAATTATTTAATACATTATTTACCGGATCAGTTACTCAAACTTTGCGTTAAAATCCTCCCCGTCGGTTGAATTAATCTGATCACTTGAATGATCGATTAAATGAAGGATTGCTTCATTGATTGATTGATTGATTGACTGACTGACTGACTGACTGACTGACTGACTGACTGACTGACTGACTAACTGACTGACTGACTGACTGACTGGATTTAAAATAAGTTGTTTAAGGCTATGAAAATGAGTGTGTCAGTAGACACCCGTGCGCACAAGTTTGAATGCATCAAATACTCAGTTTTATCTGTTAACATGACCTTTCAGTACACTGTGTTTTCTCAAGTTATTTACACTACGTCAGAGTATCCGAAGCGTATAAATCAGCCCCTTTGCGCCGTATGTGTGGGTCAAGTTAACGAATGAATGACACACGTCTCAACTGTTTCCGGTGTTTAAACCTGCATTACTTATGATTAACTGAATGAGCTGCAATACACAACGTTGATAACTTCCGCGGATAGATTTTGAGTGTAAGGTGTACACGAGATGGCCAAAAATTGCCTGAGACAAGGGATTTCCTCTGACTTGATTGCTTGATTGACGACCGCTTTACTGAACATCCCATTTAAGATGTGTCACATAGTTACAAGTGATCAGACGCACACATTCAGCGGTGGATCTTCCCCCTTAATTCGCGTAACCAATGATGAACAGTACAGTAATCTACTTTTGGTTACCGGAAAGGTTGGCATTTGCAATCACCTTTTGGTGGTTCGGATGGGATTTCGGGGCTAAAGTGTGTGCTCCTCGAACGGAATTCGGATGCATATTTCTCGGCAACAAACAAGAACGAATGACGGAATGTTTTCTTTATCCTGACTGAAACTCCCCGGGTGTTTACCGTCCTAGCAACATTTAAAATCAATGAATTACGATTATGTTTTTAGCTTGCCTGTTTATTAGGAATTAACCGGTTTTCGCTCTCTGTCTCGTATTTGCCATACTGCCATTTAAACTCTGGTGGCCTGGAATGTACAAAATCAAATCAGTTACAGTTGTTTCGAATTATCCTCTGAACTAGACACTAACTTCCTAGGCAATACTGATGACACATGGATTTCGCTAACTAGATTACGATTAGTTTTACAAAACTGCATTTCACTTACTTGCTCTTCTGTTTCAGCAAAACTTCACAATTGGGTCTAAGTATTGGATACGAAGTGAGTAGATTGAGCTTTTTATATCTCTTTTGCTTTATGATTACTTCCTTTCATAGATAATTTAATGTTATAATTTTCAATAAGAGGGTGAGCTGTTAATCCTCTGATTGGCTATCATACAAGAAACAAGCAAAAATGATGCGATTTTCTCTCATCTGATTAGCCGGTATCACAATACAATTTGTGAACGATGTCCCACGGTTAACCAACCACGAAATCAACCAAAAGTGCATCCATTATCTATGGTCTACGTGAGGACGCCAATGACAACAGATAAACATGGATATGTAAAATGCTTTTCTGCATAAGAATATGAATCGACCGAAGTGTACGCCCTCTGAACAGGTTGCCCTATTGGCATGAAGAAGTATTAAAATCAATGAGTCCTAATCAGTCGATAAATGAATAATCAATCACTATGAATTTCATTTAGTAGTTATTCATTTGGAGAATTGATCTACTGGAATTACCGTCCTTCAGTGTCGGTGGAGGCTGAATGGTTAGGTCACCAAATTGTGACCCCGGGTTCAAACCGCTTCCCTGAAACCCGTCTTCCTAATTTCCGTTCTTTCTCCGGCAGCCTTTGTTCTGCAGCTGCCCCTTTCCTAAAAGTTGTCTTTGAATTTGTACCTTCAATAAATAAAAAAATAAGTAAAAAGACGTTCATTCATTCGTTCACCTTCTCGCCTATTCCTCAGCTGTTCCAATCGACCACACACTGGGAAGCACTGAGCTGGAGTTATTAGAGTTCATTCGTAGTGCAAATCGACCGTCCCATCCGGGATGTGATTTCCAGACCCATCGCATAGAACACGAGTATATTACTCAATCATCCCAAGACTGAACCGAATCGCCAATTTATGTTTATTCAGTTGTCGTCATCAGCCGTAGTCAAAAGGGTTCATTTATCCCCGACAACAACGAAGAGAGAGACACAATTGACTATCTGTTAACTTCAGTCGAAAGCCTCCCGTCATATCAGGTTCACCATGCAGATTACGGACTAACTGGTCACAAACCTGCTCGACTGGGTTAGCAATTCATATTTAACTCACAGTTACTTGTGAGTAGTGGTGTGCGATAATTGATATTGATCGATTCGAAGTGCATGGTTGACTGAAAGAGCTTAGAAGTACACATGAAGGTGCAGTCTGAAGGATGGTAAGTTCCAATCAAGCAATATCCATTACTCCACATCAGTATTCACAATTATCTGTGCGTTAAATGTGAATAATTTGAGGAACTTGTACAGTCGACCGAATACAAGAACTCCATCGGTCATGGTTACCTCAGGGTTAGTTTCATTTACAACTCATCATGTGAAAAAATAGTTAGCATCGCCAAATTGCATCACTCGTATTTGGTTCAGTTCGTCTGCATCTGAATAAACGATCAATGAATCCCACCACGTGTGTGTGTGGGTGCGCGCGCAAAGCTATTTATGAAAAAAGATCTAAGGGTGAAAAAATGTCATCACTGGATCCAACTCATTCTTAACTCAGTTCTTTAGTGACTGACGTAAACTGCCATAAACTTATCGATTACATATGAAGTGATTGTGCACAAGGTTCGATCACGTTTCACATCAACGAAATCCGGTTTCGGCAAAAAGTTTCATATGTAACAAATCAGGACGCTTCGCCTCATGGTCAGCACAACACGAAACGGCGAGCTATTCAGACAGGTCGTGGTGATTGAACTCCGTCTTTCGGGTACCCGTTGATCCAACGCCCACACACACAGCGCTTGTCTCGATGATTCCCAATCGCTTTGCTTAGCCCAAAAATTGTCCGGGATAAAATTATCATGTTGCGTGGTACGCGTTGTGTTGAGGGACCGCCAAAATGCTGTGTGATCGACGTGAGAGGCGTGATACTGGAATTCCGATCATCTCGTTTAACTTGATTCGAAAAGAGGATTGATTTGATTTGCCAACATTTTGCTTGTACATTTGGAAAATTATTTTTGTTATTAATATATTTCACATTTATCTAGGAATAGACTGTGTTAAGTAGTTCATGATACAATAATCTCTATGACAAAGAAATGAGCTCCATGATTGACTTAGGGGCCGAATATTGCCAGGCTGCTCAAGCCAATGCAGGTGAGTTTTCTTGAGGAACCGGAGCCTTCGGCTAGCCAAAGGCTGGCCCGCAAGGCATTGGGGCGGTTTGTAAACCGCAACCCGTTGGGAGCCGGTGTCCAGTTCATCGGAACGTACGCCCCATCAGACGGGGTCAAACGCTCAAGATGTCCAATACACCTCAATGCCCAAATGAGCCGGTGACCACTGTTGCAACCGANTTTGGAATCTGGGATTTTGGTCAACTGCCCTAGGCGAACTACCAGTGGTCCACCAATCCGATTATAGCCCCGGATGTCGGCTTTCCGTGCTCTCACTTTGGTGAGAAAATACCGCCATGGGAAGGTAGTTAGGAGGGATTCCTCAGCAGAAGCTGGTAGAGACGCTTGGTCGTATGGGAGCATTTCGCGAGGGGCAAGGAGAAAAGGGTAACCAGCCGTAAACCTTAGCAACCAACCACGACCATACTAAGGCTTTCGGAGGCTACGTGGAAAATAATTGTTTTTGTTTGATTTTCTTCAAATCTTGAAAGTCAAAACTGACTGGTAATTTCACCTGGCAGGAGTTCTCATCTGTCAGTATAAGGACAAGTATAAAACAATTGTCAATTTTATTTCAGATAACCTACCTGCACCGTTCCAATGGATACCACAAACGCTTGAAAATATCAAAGTGAGTATGTGTTTGGATTGTTCTAATATGACTAACTTGGTAACTGTACTTTTCAACTACTTTGAACGGTCAGACTTACGCGTGTAATTTTACTCGTGCATATTGTTGTGGTTATCACTTGCATGCAGCTCCTGATGACTTTGACCCCATCAACCAATCCGGATGCGAAGGAACTGAAACAATTGTTTTCGACCCTCACCAATTCAGCGCATTCCTCGCCGGCCGTTTGCCTTTTTGGAGAGGTAGGTTCAACCAGGTTCATCCTTTTGAATGTCTTCGATTGATGGCTGGTACTGATATGCCCACCAAGTAGCCAAGATAAATATCAACTGGTCATTCGCTTTCTGAAGCGGTTGGGTAGTAGAACTGAGTAAAACGTGCCAAACAAATAAGTACAATGAACAATTAACAAAGTGCGTTATATCTATGAATCAAAATATTTTGAATTTCTGGCTGTGTAGATTGTATGTTTAAGATATTCTTTGTAGTAAACTAAGCTAATCCCAGGGTTAAGTTATTGAAGTGTTATCATGTGAGCTTAACTGACGAACAATTAGTCGATTCTCCCTCGACTTCGAGTGTTTTGTGTAGTGTATTGTATTGTGTATAACTTTTCCAAGCACTGGAGCTCACATTTCAGCTTAAAAGTTCATACACGCTAACCGTCACAATGTACATAATCAACGGGAGAAAAGTTTTTACAGGCATGGGGCATTTCATAATCCGTAATTGAGGCAAAATTCACTTATTGTCCGCTCTTTGTTCATGAGTAGACGAGCAAAATACGGTATGGGTAAATTGCGGTATGCAATAATTCGAAATGAAATTTGGCGGACTTGGGAGCGTGTCGAATAATGGGAACGACAAAGTGTCAGTTCTGCATGCAATGGGTGATCAGGATCTCGGCAAATTTCACACAGGAAGTTACCTGATACTGTGAACGTTTTACAGCTAATTCATTCACAGAAATAGAAGAAACACAACTAATAATGGTTAGACCGCGACGTAAAACTTTGAAATCCTGTTTGAGTAAACCAGGAAAAATAACCGGGGAACAGTAGAGTAAGATGGGAAAACACATTAATAAACAAAAGTAGAAATAACTTACTGGGATCGGCGAAACTGCCTGAGCTTTAGTATTTGAAATGAAAGGCGTCGCAGTTCACCAGTGCAGTTGTGGATGTGGGTTGACCAATGAAGATTGCTATCTATGGTTACACCAAGATATTTGACAGAGTTCACCCTGGATAAAGGATAGTTATTAATCACTGTGGGGTCTGTCGGATATGGAGAGCGAGCAAAACTATATAAACACTCAACACATTTACTGGGGTTCAGGGTTAGCCCCGATGAGGAGGAGAATGACTGAATTTGATCAAGATTATCGATGAAAGAACTCAGATCAGAGTAAGAAGAAATGAGTTGGCACAGCACGACGTGATCTGCATATTTCAAAATTCGTGCGGGAGAAGCACAGGGAATATCACAAGCATAAGTGGCAATAAGTATGGGGATAGCACAGCTCCTTGAAGGACCCCGGAGTTGTTGATTAAGGGTTTCGATGTGACCTTTCCCAATCTAGTGGTACCCTATCGGTAAAATAGTTGGGTAGCCAAGCTAACAACTGCGTGGGGCATTCAAACGATTCCAGTTTTTGTAA